TTTCCTCTTCAGTTGGACGCTGGTTTGTTGTCTTCCACAGTAGAATGTTACTTATGGTATCCGGCCAATAGATGTTTGATAACTTGCGTAGAAATCTATTTATAAATACTTGTACCTTCTTGATAATAGTTCTGGTAGTTCTCCAAGTTTTAGCTTCGTATAGCAAAACTGTCTTGACGTTCGTATCGAAGATTATAACTTTGATATTGACTTGCATACAGTTGTTTTAAGTTCCATATGTTCTTCCATTGAATCTTATCAATCAACCAGTTAATTGAAATGTGAATATTTCGATGATAATAACTCTTTTATTACATAACATGGATTCATAGCTCATAAGTTCATTCAATCCTCTTATATTTGAAAATATCTCTTGTTAACTATTATCAAATAGGTTTGAATTATTTTTTCTAGTGAACTCTTATTTTTGTTAGCGAGTTAGTTTTCTATGGGATAGGGTCGTTAACCTCATGCCCAACCCTCCTCTTATATCCGGATGTGTGACCGAAAGTAGTCCCTAATGGGCTTCATGTGGAGTTATTATCAAATACGATGAACCGTAAACTTACAACTTTCTTTTTGTCAGTGGACGGCCGTTTTGTCCTAGTATGGGATTCCTCAGTAGTGTGTATCCACGATCTTACTCTTGGGACTCGAACTCAGGACCATACTAGGATGAAACGATCGTCCAGTGCTTCCAGGTTTTTCATAGTGGTCTAGTTTCAATTGACTCATGATTTCAATCTAAGAACTTTCGTTTTATTCAACTATCCCTGACTATTTAACAATAATGTTTATAGGATGAAGTTGAAAGCGTTTCAAATGTAAATGACACACGTTTACTAAATTAAAATCACTAACGATTTATGTTTATAAAAAAAGACTAAATGACCAATTTATTATACAAATCTCTATACCATCCATTGAATAGATAGATATTCTTGCATAAATATGGCACACATAGAGCCCATTGATCAATCAATCAATCAATCAACTAATCAATCGTTTGGGTAATTAATCGATATATCGATATTTAATATCATTGATAATCATAATCATTGTATTTAATTAATACATGAGATAATTTATATTATAAATAGCCAGTATAGAACATGAAATGTAACTATTATTTGTTTATGTTATATTTACATATTATAGATAGGCTAGAATTAAAGCATCATGATCATCATGATCGTCATCATAAATTATCATCATTATATGCATGAAAGCGTAATGATCAACTAATCATCATTATTCTACTGATAAGATATTGTCATACAATGACATAACCCTAACACACGAGATCATTATGATAAGAGATCAATCTAAGTAATCCTAATCATCATAATCATAATGATGATGATGATGATGATGATGATGGATATGTTTCTTAAATGGGATTCAATTAGATAATGCAATAATGTTCAATCATTTATGTTACCTTATAACTTACATTATATTGGTTGATCTGTCATGAAATCACGTATTTGAATGGGGCGAATTTAAGAATAAATCGTTACATTATTTTGGTTGTGTTAGATAATTATTCAGTAAGGCTTAGAACTCTTTGTGTTTTCAGTTAAATTATTATTAGAAAGGGGGTGGGTGTGTGACAGTTGTGGATATTATAGTGATTTGTTTAATAGATAAATTCATGAATCAGTTAAAACTGGAACACGATGGAAAACTTGAAAGTGATGGACAGAAGTTTCGTCCTAGTATGAAACTCCTCGTTAGTGTGTATCCACGATCTCACTCCTGCGACTCGAACCCAGGATCTCCAGTCTTGTGTGTGAACGTTTAAACTCTAGATCACCGAGCTGGCATCTAATAGTGTTGATGACTAACTTCAACCAATCCACCAAAATTGCGCCAGCATACACCATTGTGTTCAGTCTCGGTTCAGTGGTTCAGAGGTTCAGTACTGAAAGGTCCGAAGGTTCTCCGTTTGAGTCTCACCAGCAGGATTGTTGATGCGAACTGCTGAGAATCGACAATTATTTAATTCAAACCATGACACATGTTAAGTATTGACAAAGAAGCTATTTTTTTCAAAATTAAACTAATTACTTTCAATAGAAAGTATATGATAAAAATAGAAAACAAGATTCGACCTACTGGACTCTAGGTTACTTACCTGTCTATCACAATGCCGTAGGTATATACACTCTTTATCTTCCCTTGAACTGTCAGATTAAAATTACTTTCTACCTTTCTTTCTGTATTATATCCTTATACACAATCTTTATTTAATAGAATACCACCACTGAATTAACAACTTCTATGAATTTGATTTTCATCTTGTTGTGCTAATGAGGTATGATAACTTGGACCGATGCATATATGTGCCTGGTTCTATGTTGTAGCTGACTGACGGATCCACCTAGCACTTCATTAAACAGCCACGAGATTCGATATTTTATTTTTACAGTATGTTTTTCCTTATCAGTACTTGTCGCTTGACTGAATTCTTTACATAAACTTATATGATTAGACATTTATATATTTTTCATGCCCCCAAATGCCCTGGTACGGCCGAGAGTGGGGAGTGCCAGCTATTCTTCTCCAAATGCTCTCACACGACCACGTGCATATAAACGCTGACAGGGAAAATCCTACTCACTGCCTTCTCTCCCCATTACTGTTGTTTACAAAATTGAGAGATTGACAAGGAAATATCCGGTGCTTTAACCGGGTTGGTGGATATAGAGGATCCACCTAGGGGAGTTGGAAAACCCTGATTTCAAACCAATGGTGTACATGGTCTCCAGGATCCTAAGGAAAAAAAGTGTATGAATCTATTTTTGGTCACCGACTACCATGGAACTGCATTTCCTGATGTTACTCCACTGTCTTGTGGATTAGACCTTTAGGTCGAAGGTTTGGGGTATGACCCCCTAAATATCCACCTGTTTCAGTTTGGGCACTCGGGCAGTATCTCAGCCCTCACACAGATCGAGTTATTTGTGTGTCGCATATCTATTCGGTGCCTCTTTGTATCAATGTTTATTACGTAATATCCTGTCAATTCTCATCATTAATTAAAGTGCTTATCTCGGACTTCTTAATTGTTCACAAGATAACAATTTACAATTTGAGGTTATTTTAAATTGATCATTCTTCAACATACAATATATTTACAATCACTTGATTACTATAGACTATCACCGTTATTACCATTATTATTATTGTCACATGACACACGCATTTAGGTAGACCTGACTGACATAGTTTGGTCATTACTACTTTGTTGTTTCATGCTCTCTGTTTTCGTTTTAATTTCTTTAGTTGTAGATAATTATCATTAATTCGATCTGGCACATGAAATGACCTTAATTACTCTCCGTTCATAAATCAACAGGCTGTCCATTTAAGAAGAATTAAAAGTTCCCGGCTGATGCATTGAACTGCTGTAATATACATGTTACTACTACCTCAACAATTACTGAACTAGTATACTTAAAACTTGTTTGTTCTACACGTCTAACGTTATTATTTATATCAAATTGATCATGTCCCTTTAAACTGGCATGAATTCTGTAATTATTATTTTCAGAATATATAAATTATTATTACAAATATAAAGAACTCGTAGTTAGATCTAGTGGTTTTACATGGGCAATGAATTTATCAAGATCTATTTTTCTTCTCTTTCTTACTTATGCTTGTTACTCCTCGTGGAGGAGCATAGGTCAAACATCAACCTTGTCCTAAACAAGTCCTTCCAGTTGTTATTCATTCTTTTCATATCTGCTTCTATTTCCCGACGTAATGTGTTCTTTTGTCTTCCTGTTTTCCATTTCCCGTCAGGATTCCAAGTGAGGGCTTGCCTCGTGATGCCGTTTGGTGGTTTCCGTAATGTATGTCCTATCCACTTCCAAAGTTTTTTCCTAATTCCTTATTCAGCTGGAAGCTGGTTTCTTTTCTAAAATCCAGTAATTTTTACTGCAAACATTCATTCGTTTGAGCGTGAAGATCAATTAGTGTTTTTAATTAAAAATACACTGACATACAGAGACATTATCGGCACAAACTTCACTTCTACCTAAAGTTTGTGCTGATGATGTCGTTCAGAAGAACGACGAAGGTTCCACGACCAAACCATTCAGCCCAGAGAACGAAACTCCATGAAAATCATCCCTTTCAGCTACACTATCTCAAACGAACTTAATGTTTCTTATGATTCTTCTTTCAAACCAGGTGATTTTCACTGATAATTCGTAACTGTTTTAAACCACTGAATTGTATTATTATCTACAATAAGATACCAACTTATAAGTCTTTTTGAGTTGTGCGCAGAAAATCTAAGTGTCATTAGTCTTGATGGTAATGAGCTCATCAATGAGATGTAGTCCTGTAGGGCCAGTGAAATGTCACTGATCCCTAGCTGGCAGTTGGGTGAATGAATATAGAACAGTTCATCGACCCCCGTCAAGTTCAAGTTCGACCAACACGCACCAGTTAATCGTGTGCCATAGAGTGGCCCATGCGGTGGTGGTCTCACTATCTTCTCTTTGCTCATTCTTACTAATATATATTTCCGTAATAACGTCTATTGTGTTTGACGGTCTTGAATGCAGATATAATAACTTGATACGTCGAAGGGGTAATCCACGTTACGTGTTCACATCGAGGTGTGAATTCGAAGTTAGATTTTGGTCAAACCATCCTCATCTAACTCATGTAGGTCTCCAATTATTTGACATAGATCATCTACGTTTGTGATCTACACTCATCGATTTCTCAATTTGACCAATACTTCAAGCAGTGACTTTATTCAGTCGATTCTCATTCAAAACAAGGTCAAATTCAAATATGCGATTTACTTTCTCATCATATATCTGAGAATTAATTAAAAGTTACTATGATAAATAAAATAACTAACAATTTTACTATTAAATTTAGTATAAAAATAAGGAATTACAAACTTCACAATATTTTCTTTTGAGCGAACTCAGAATACTACTTAAATAAAAATTAAGTAGGAAGCTAAATAATCACTAAAAATCAGCATCATTTTCCACCGAATCCATCTATGGAAAGTAAGAAATCAAAGTGAAATCATTTGGTGAGTGTGTCATTGGAACTAAAAAACAAAATCTAAATTCAGTAAGCAAACAAAGTCAAAGAAAGAAGCTTGGATATCATTTATTTGAATTGTAGTCAACAATAGAATAATGTTTATTGCACCTTATCTGAATCTAATTAGATAGGACAAATCATCGTTATGATTAATGTCGAAATATACGTCCTGATTATTCTCGTACATCTGTATCGATTTAACTGACAATGCTGAACAACGGAATTAAATAAGTCAAACATGAGGATGGATGTTTGAATACGTATACTTTGTACACTCATTGATCTGAACAGGCAATCAGAGAATCGGAGTGAATAAAGAGAAGAAGAGAGAGCGAAGAGAAACGAAAGGATGCTCAATGGAGAAAGCGAATGAGCAAACTCGACTTAATCAAGCGTTATTCAATATTTATAGTCAAAAATAAGCTACAAGCATGTGGTGAGTAGGATAAGAAGTTTACACAGATTCAATCATATAAGAACAGTCAAGGTTGATAAGTGAATAATTAACAAGGTCAAAATGTAGCTTGTGGAGAATGGATAGATTCGTTCGTTCAGAAGCAAGAATATGTTATATGGGCTTAACATAATGAAAGACACTTTAAATGGATAGGAGTATTCTCTTATTTTGGATTCTTCAGTTAAATAAACCTCTATCTCATCGATATTTTTTTCTGGTTAGCGTTTTTTAGTGAGTTAGTTTTCTACGGGATAGGGTCGCTAACCTCATGCCCAACCCTCTTCCTTTACCCGGGCTTGATACCGGCAGTAGCTCTGGAAGTGCTACAGGCGGAGTTAAGACAGTTCTACTATACGAAGCTGAAACTTGGAGAACTACCAGAACTATTATCAAGAAGGTATAAGTATTTATAAATAGATTTCTACGCAAGTTATCAAACATCTATTGGCCGGAAACCATCAGTAACATTCTACTGTGGGAGACAAAAAACCAGCGTCCAACTGAAGAGGAAATTAGGAAAAGACGTTGGAAATGGATAGGACATAGATTGTGGAAATCATCGAATTGCACCATGAGGCAAGCCCTTAGTTGAAATCCTGATGGAAATCGGAAAAGTGGAAGGCTGAAAAACACATTACATCGGGAGTTAGAAACAGATATGAAGAGGATGAATTGTAACTGGAAAGAGCTGAAGAGGCTTGTCCAGGATAGGGTTGGATGTAGAGTGCTAATGTTTGACCTGTGCTCTTTTACGAGGAGTAACAGGTGTAAGTAGTAAGTAATATCTCATTGATAGTATTCATTATTTTTAAAGTTTGATTACTGAAACACATACTTGTTTAGATCTGTGGACGTAAAATGGCAGTAAACATGTACGTATTCGATTTAGATAGATTAGATTTTAGATTTGATCTATTCTCTTCAGTTTATTGATGTAAATTTCCAACACCAATAGTGGTTTATTACAATAAATTTCTCTGTTAAATGATTTCAAGTCGTAATTATTAGTCTATAACTGCGTTACTTATTTTCAATCCATAGAGTTTTATAGGAGATAAGATAATACAATTGAATTATTTTTTCTGGTCAGCGTTTTTTAGATGAGTTAGTTTTATATGGGATGGGTCGCTAACCTCATGCCAAACCTTCTTCTTTTATCCGGACTTAGGACTGTCAGTATCCTCAGAGGTGCTTCAGGCGGCCTATGCTCCATTGAGAGGAACAGACGTAAACAAAGTAATACAATCATCGTTTGCCACCTGTTGTTTGTAAGATTTCAGAACTAAAATGTATTCATCAGCTTGCTTTATCAAAGGATAGACTGTAAGTAAAGTATCCTACTAACTTCAGTGTTTTTTAAAGTTTTTCTGATCTTTTTAAAACTTTCTGTATGTAAATTTGTTTGTAACTCAGCATGCTGCTAAAGTTAAAACCATAAGTCATGGAGTTCTAATTCTAAAACGGATTGATCTCGAGCTCACTGTAAAATTTAAGTATCCTTGAAGATTATATTCCTTATAGTGTCATGGAAGTTTGCATATTCCGAAAGTTCTGACGAGTTATGACTGATGAAGCTCAACCATGTTATGAGAGAATTGGCTGAATTAGGGATATTGAATCCAAGGTTAGTGGTTCAAACTGTAAAACACTAGCAATGGAGCGTGAATATCATGTGTTCAGTTGATCAGTATGGTTGCGAGTACTTGCTTCTGATGAGTACCAAGTTAAAAAGAAACAGGTCTATCACCTCATCTGGTTTTCAATGATTTCCAAGTCCATGATAGTTTAAAACGAAACCATCAACTTTATTTTACACTGTCTTGCGTCAACACCCAAACTATGGTTGGAAGTGAAGTAGTTGAACTAGTCAACAAGTCTCATCAGCCCTAATGGGTCGGTATCTGACGAAATCTCTCCACGGATACAGGAAGCCCGTTTGGCTTTTGCCAACTTACGTCACCTATGACGAAGGCAATATACCCGTATATCAATTAAGGGATGAGTATACTGAGCAACAGTTCGTTCTGTTCAAATGTACGGTTGCGAAACGCCGCCATTAGGAGTAGAACATACTCGTAAGCTACTAGTATTTGACCACAGATACCTTAATAATATTGCTCGCATCTCTGGGATCACCGGGTAAGTAGTAGTCAGGTTAGACGTAGGGTATTAAAGAATGATGGCAAATCATTTGATGAGGTTGTGAATCTTCATCGACTGAGATGGTTGGGTCACGTGTTACGTATGCCTGAACACCGATTACCACGACGTGCAATGCTAACCGGTGTTGGAGATGGTTGGAAGAAATTTTGGGGCGGCCGAACCAAAACGTGGCATCGGTGCTTGAAGTCACTAAATTGTAGTCTGAGCCATGTTGGTAAATGCGAACTACTTGGTCGGAGTCCGCGTGATTATCGTAACCAATGGTTGGAGACTCTGGACCATATGGTGGCTCAGAATCGATCACAATGGTGTCGGTGTATACACTCTTTATCTTCTCTTCAACTAAGAGATTAAAATCGTTTCATATCTTTCTTTCTACCAACTAATTCTTTCTTTCTGTATTATATCATCAAATGCATTCTTTCTTTTATATATTACTACCATTGAAGTAACTACGTCTATGAATCCGGTGTTCATCTTGTTGTTTTAATGAGGTATGGCAACTTGGATCGCATGCATTTCTGTTCTGGCTCTACGTTGTAGCTGACTGACCGATACTAATATATATGTTTAATGAAGGAGATTATTGATTTCAACTAACCTCTTCATCTTTAATAATAATTTGTAAGTTTGATAATTTCAATCTATCAGCTGGGTAAATAAGTCGCTCATAATCATGTTTATATGGATTCATTACAGATAATGATGATGTAATACTTAGGTTAATGGGATTTATTCTGTTTCTCAGATTCGTTTCGTCAATTTCTTCTGAACTTTCATCAGGAATTTTTATTAATGAAATGGAACATTCCGCATCACGTGAACAATTTCGATTAATCAATGATAAATGTTTAGTAATTGAATTTGAATGAAGTAATTGTTTATCTTCTGTGAAGTAACTACTGGGGGAAAAAGGGGAGAAACATGGAACAAAACCAACAATTCATTATAAGAGTTAATAAGAAACAAAATCGAGATGTAATCAAAATCATAATAAGCAGAGATGATGATCGGTAACGATGGGAATCAAGACGAGCGTTTCATCCTATTTAGGACTTACCAGGTGAATATATCATAGTAATGAGATGAATAGGGCTATAAAGTGCATGAATGAATATAGTCAAGATCGATGTGTATTTATATGTTAGGAAGTAATAATTAAGAGGTTATGTAAACGTATTAAAATAAACAAGTAATTGGGTAATCGCTCAATATGATAAATTAAGGAAGATGGTGGTTGGAGGTAGTCAACAGGTAACTCTGGACCCGGGTTTCGTGCTACTTAGCACTAATCAGTAAGATGTATCTGTAATCTTGGGGGAGATGAAGCTCCCTGACGGATTCGATCCCGTGTTACTCAGCCTCACAGTCAGAGGTGTTACCATTAGGCTGCGAGTGACCTACTGTAGGATTGAGATGTATTCGTGATTGATTGATCACTGAGTGCTGATCAATGTCAATGCCATCTTATCTCAACATAGTGCACGCAATATCGAGTCACCTAAACTAGTGGTCAAATACTAGTAGCTTACGAGTATGTTCTACTCCTAATGGCGGCGTTTCGCAGCCGCACATTAGAACAGAACGAACTGTTGCTCAGTATACTCATTCCTTAATTGATATACGGGTATACTGCCTTCGTCATAGGTGACGTATGTTGGCAAAAGCCAAACGGGATTTTTGAATCTGTGCTGAGATTTCGTCAGACTTAATTTTAAAACTTCGGGATCAATATCCAATGGTTCCTATTGTTTAACTTCAATCGATTTGCGATGTCTTTCAAACAACTCTCAATATCATTGAATATGAAGAAAGAGAATTCAGTGAAGAAATCCTTCACTTTTTGATGAAATTATTTACTTAAGCCGTACATTCGTATTTATAGTTATTGTGGAAAACATATGAGTCAATAGAAGGATACAAATTGATTACATCATAAATTGATTCGAGACTCTAATTATTAAATGAGATTATGTTATAATCAATTGGTAAGTAAATTAGAAACAGTTTACAATTACAAGAAAAGAAACAGTAGTGAGAAATCTTCACATAGAAGTCAAACAATTATTCCATTGAGAAGTCAGTTGAAACTTTTCTGATTCCAACTTCTGTCAGTAGTACTAAATATATTAACTAGGATACTTCATATTTATCAAGATCAATAGACCATATACTAAACAAAATTCTCCTGAAAGCCCTGAACAGCTGTTTCGTCCAATTGTAGGACTCCTCAGCAGTGCGCGTCCCCATCTATTGTGTCGTTGGAACAAATTCGCCTGATCCTTGAGGATAAAGAATGAATTAAGTTCCTTTTTCTAATTAATGGAACCCAACTGTGGAAGTTCGTGTATTGTCCATTCCAAGTGGGTTTTCTGTATATCGATTTCTGTAATAAACCATCAGGCATTCTTTTTAAATGGATATCAAGAAAATGAAATTCGTGGTTTGTCTCTGCTTCTAAGGTGAATTGGATTGATGGGTGACAGCTATTGAAAATATTCAAAATATCATTGAGGTCAACGTCTTCTTCGCAAATAATGAAAGTGTCATCCATATATCTTTTATATAAATGAAATCTTTCAATTATTGGTCGAAGTACCGAATTTTCTAGGTTCGCCATAAAACAATCAGCCAGGAGAGGACCCAATGGAGAGCCCATTGCAACTCCATCTATTTGTTTATAGAAAATATCATTAAATCTAAATTGCACGTTGAGCGTACATCTTAGAAGTAGTTCTTTAAGGTAATGTATCTGGATACGCATATCAAGATTATTATTTTCAATATAGTCACATAAAAAGCAAATGGTTTCTGTGAGGGGAACATTTGTGAAAAGCGAAGTGACGTCTAATGAGAACATTTTTTACCGGATACATTGATATTTCTAATGGAGTCAACAAAGTCGAAGGAATCAAGAGAATTGTGTTTGTTGATATGATTTTTAACAGGTTGTAGAATGTTAACTAACCATTTAGCGATTGAGTGATAGGGAGAATTGTTCATATCCAGTATAGGACGTAGTGGGTTATTATTCTTATGAACTTTTGGTAGTCCATATAGTCTTGGTACAACAGAACTCTATTTATGAATATGGAATTTAAGGGAGATACAGCTGCTGAAATCCTAAATAAACGGATTTCGAAATCAATTAATAAAACATTCCACGCAGCTAAGCTTCGAATCATCTTCTCTAGCCGACCTACCATTCTGGGGTGTGTTAAGGACAAAATTTCGCTTTGGGCCACTTCAATGTGTATCTATAAATTTACTTGCTCATGTGGGGCATGTTACATAGGCCGCACAAAGCGATCATTATCCAAACGCATCTCGGAACATTATCCGGCTTGGCTTTTGAAAGGGGAGCGAAAAACAATCACGAGTTCCATACAGGAGCACTTAATCAACTGTGGACATATCGCTCCAAAAGACTCTTCGTTTAAAATAGTTTACAGAGTCAAAGGAACTGGATCGAAAGGGGTTCGAATCAATATTTTATGTACCGCAGAGGCATTGGCAATCCACAAACTAAAGCCTGAACTTTGCGTGCAGAAACGATTTGTCCAACCTCTCATCCTTCCCTGGCCCTAATTCCCTTAATGGGTATGTTTCTAGGTGTTTTTTTTCAATGCACTTTTATTATTACTATTTTGCACTTTAAACTCTAATCATTTATTATTATTACCTTTTACAAGTTTTCTTGATTATCATTCAGTTTATTATTATGACCTTTGTTGTTTTGACGTTTTTTCTTCATATCTGTCAATTGGACTATTATCTGACCCATAAATTTTGTTCTTCCTTACCCCTTGATTAGTACGTTAACCTCATTTGTTATTTATTGTCGAATCCATTTTTTGTGTGATACAATCCATTCTATCCTTCTATAGACATACATTTTCCATATCTAACTATATATACGAATGTACAGCTTAAGTAAATGATTTCGTTGAAAAGAAAAATTTTCTTCGCTGAATTCTCTTTTTCTTATTCAATGACACTATGGGTTATTTTAATTATCTGAACAGTAGTTTAGTTTATTGACAATCATTTTTGAGCTTATTGCTTGTAATATCAATTGGTCATCTTATGTAAAACTTCAAAGTATATGAACGAATCTGTGAAAATTAATAGTTATTTGTATGATTGTATGCTCATTTCCACTGGTTCATATCTAGTTCTGATGAGCTGGTTGAATATTTATCTCAACATAGTGTTCTCAATGTCAAGTCACTTAGACTAGTAGCCACATAACAACTTAGTCAATAGGATTCAATCTGCACCTAAGAAGGACTTGATATACATGACATTGATTAGTACACAACGACCAATCAATTGTAGATAATTTCGATATTTAGTGTGTATAGTTCTTTTTTAAATTTACTGACTGGCATTGTTGTGTTTGACAGAGCTACTGGATATTACTTAATTTATCGCGTATCTTGAAGATCAAAGAAAAGAAAATGAGAACAGAGAATGGTTAATATGAAAACGAAGGAACAATGAAGTCTGAGACGATTGATTGATATTTTGTCAATTAAGAATTCACTGTGTGGTTCTCAGATATTACAAAGAAGTTCTGTAATTTTTTATTCAAATACATTTGATTATCCTTATTTGTGTTCTCGTTCACTACATTGTAGTGACCAACTTTTATCAAGAGAACGTGATCGGTATAGTGGAATCAATCAGTATTATAACCAATTGTACCAGTGATTTTTTACTGTACTTGTTTGTTTAACTGTACTAAAGACATACATTCTTCCGTTGATTGTGACCTTGCACGCACTTACGTTTGCTCAGTGATTCCGCTTGTACGCCTTTGGCACGATCTCGGTATTCTTTCGATACCACGAGATCGCCAACAAATATATCTCGCTACAACCTCCAATCGCCTTCTGATATCTGGTACGCAACCTTCTTGTAGTGGTGATCATAGTCAACCGTGACTCGACGCCACGCTACAACACTAGCTGTTATAAACTGATACTTGGAAAGAGGTGGGGATAACTGAGTTTTGCAAAATGTAAGAAATAAAAAAAACTCTGGTCTACCATTAAAAAGTTCATTTACCTTCCAAAAACAAAACAAAAAACACTTATTATAATCAGCAGTTAGACATTAACATCACCGGATACCGGCCGGCTCAATGGTCTACAAGTTAAGCGTTAGTGTATGAGACTGGCAGATCCTGCGTTTGAATTTAGCGTGTGAAATCATGGATGCGCACTGCTGAGGAATCCCATGCTAGGACGAAATGGTCATCCAATACTTCCAGCTTTTCAATTATTAAACAACACTTACTAACTGAATAAATTGATTCACACATAGATAGTTTTTAGAAATAATGAGAATAAGAAGAAAAGACAATGAATGTATTATCTACTACTGGACAAATACAAATAGATCACATTCAACTGAAATAGAAATTATGTAATTTAAAAGAAAATTAATTTCCTAATAGAAACTTACTTATCTGGTATCATTAAATTGTAACTCGTTAGTAGCTATTCATTAGGAAAGATGAAAGAAAACAAAACAAACAGTTTTGATCAGTTGGGTGAACTGTATGCGATAAGTGATAGATAACTTTCGAAGTTTGAGATTATTTGTGAAACTTCCTTCCTTCTTTACTTACTTACGCTTGTTACCCCACATCGTGGAGGAACATAGGCCACCCGCGAGCATTATCCATTCAACTCTGTCTTAGGTAACCGTTTCCAATTACGATTCATCCTTTTAATGTCTGCTTACAATTCCCGATGTATTGTGTTCTTTGGCTTCCCTCTTTACGGTTTACCTTCAGGATTTCAAGTTATTGCTTATCTGTTGATACAGTTTGGTGATTTCTGTAATGTATGTCCGATTCATTTCCATCATATTTTCCTAATTTCCTCTTTAACTGGATATTGGTTTGTTCCCTCCCACAGTAGGGTGTTGCTCGTGCTATCCGGCCAACGGACATTGAGTTTCTTGAGAAGACAACTATTTAGAAATACTTGTACCTTTTTGATGATGGTTATGGTAGTTCTCTACGTTTCAGCTCCAGATAGTAGAACTGTATTGACTTTCGTATTAAATATTATGACTTTGATATTGGCTTGCATACAGTTGTTTTTACTTCCATATGGTGTTCAAGTGTACGAATACTGTCCTTGCTTTGCCGATTCTTACATAGACGTCTTCATCAGATCCTCCTTCATCGTCGATGATGCCCATCAGGTTCGTGAAAGTTTCCACATCTTTCAGAGCTTCTCTATCAATTGTGATTCGGTTGATGTTGATCTTTGTTTTCCCCTTGTGTACGTTAGAGCTTGTAGCTCTCCTAGGGTTACTGTCGGTTTCAAGCCCGAGTGAAGAAGGAAGGTCAGGCATAAGCTCAGCAACCCCATTCTGTGGAAAATAATCTTTCTAAAAAATCGCTAACCAGAATAAACAAATTAAACCAATTATTTGTGAAACCTATTTAATATAACGCTCAGATTTCTCATTTTACACTAAATGGATACTGGTTTGCTTAGGATGAACACTGAATGATTTATCTGCACATACAATGCACTCCCTTTACACCAGACACACTACTAGCACGATTCTATCAGACATCAATACAACTCGTTTCAAGAACATGTAATTCGCTTGACACATCTAATGCCTGTCAGACTATTTACCAGTCTGTTTAAGTAGACCATCAGTCACTTTCTCTCATCCACACAAGGTTTTTTGAATTTGGGTTTAGTGAACTGATGCTTCATCGTAGTGTGAAACCGATTAAGAGTGCATATCACGACGCTTACAGGTGTTGGGTTTGATTTCTGTTTGAGATCAGCAGTGTACACTAATGAACAATTCATAACTACAATAAATCAAATATTTACTACATAGGACGAACCGGTCTTCCAGTGCTTCCAGGTTTTCCATGGTGGTCTAACTTCAATTGATTTATGATCTCAACTGTTGAAATTTACTACTATAGTTGAATTTATGAGTCAATTAAAGATAGATCACTATGGAAAACCTGGAAGCACTGGACGACCATTTCGTCATAGTATGGGACTTCTCAGCAGTGAGCATCCATCATTCCATTCGTGGAATTCTACAAAAATTTAAACTCAAGTTTATTCATAGGAGTTTGTTTCTCATAAACTCATATAATTACCCCAATAAATAGCTTCACAAATCTTTTAGACTGTTGAAAATACTTCCATCAACCATTAGATCTTTTGAAATCTGTAAGAGAAATCTGGATACAAACCAATTATTTAGATGGTGGTTGGAGGTAGTCGACAGGAAACCCTGGACCTGGGTTTCGTGCTACTTGGCACTCGTCGGCAAGGTGTACCTGTAATCTTAAGGGAACTGGTGCTCCCTGGCAGATTCGACCTCGTGTCACCCAGCTTCACAGTCAGAGACGTTACCACTGAGCTATCCGAGCTGCCACCAACCTCCTGTCCGGGGTTCAGGGTTTCTGGTCGATTACCTCCAACCACCATCTAAATCTCAATATATAGTGTCCGCAGTGTCGAGTCACCTAGACTGGTGGCCACATTGCAGCATGATTGATAGCATTCGATCTGCACTAATAAGGACTAGACAAGCATGACATTGATCACCACCCAGTGATCAATCAATTGTGATTACAAACCAATTATACTTTGTTACCATGAATGAACAACCACTAGTTTTAGAGTCTTTTTCAAGAGTTCCTAGAACCTGTAAGTTACAACAATAATAATAATAACCACCACCACAACAACAACATCTTATATCATTGTGCCTTCATTATTGTTGCACTTGTATGAACATATCCGCTTGAGTATTGTTTACCGCCTTCATACATATTCATTCGGTTAGCCTTAGTATTAATCGTTGAAATGATTTAATAAATCATTCATTTTTCCTACATACATTTTAATCCTGTTCATTGACTATACTCACTGGTTTACATGCTCTTCAGCACTCATATATCATTCTTGCTTTGTGTGCCTATGATTTTGATGATCTTTATGTAGTGCGATCATATTCATAATCAACACTTCGTATTTGTCTCCTGATTTATACACTGTTGGAAGGGGGGGGGCATTATCTAGTAACGGTTATCAGGATGAGTAGTATAATAAGTTTAAATGTCAATTCATGTTATTACATTTTAGTTAAAATTAATTGTTTCTTTGAAATTAAAAAAAAGACACTAACAATCTGAATAGTTTAATATTGAACTGAGAATTGGCCAGTTCCTCGATTTCAGTTGGACCCTAACACCAGATCCTACAAATCTGCTCAAAGGGTAGGCGTTAGCGTGATACAATACTGATTTAAAGCATGTTCCATGCACAATTGAGTTGATGCACGCTGATTGGCTAATTCATAACCAATCAGATCTAGTCAATACTTGGAGAACACTCGAGAATCTCGTGTAAAAAAAACTGTACTAACGTTTTTCCTATTGTGGTTCTTACTTCCATCTTACCTTGTTATTTGGAATATCATCTCTTTCCTATTCAATTGTGTTCTGATTTAGGGACTTGTCGAGTGAATTGATGTCGAAGAATACTAAGCCATTGGAATAGCCGGGTTTTAACAAGGCAGGATTATAACAGTTTATCAAGAAGTAGCTTAGATAATTAAATTGGTATTGTTGTTTACTTGAATCTTCTCACTGATGTTTAGGGCTGCAACTGATCAGTCTCTTATTGGTATATGCACATACTGTATTCATTTTATAGGGAATTGTAGCCTTCAACATATATATATGTCCTATATTCATACCCTTGTAATTGTATGCTTACTTGATTTCCGTGTACTTGTGTGTACGTCCATCATTCAATATTTCATTCAATGTTTGTCTCTTTTACATTATGTATTATCTAGTTTGAGCTATATTAGCGTTTGTAATGAGTAGTATAGACGTGTTGAGATGTTTATCTTCTCTGCTTGATCTCTCTTTTCCGCTTCCAATTTTTATATCTGTTTGAGTAAAAGATTACTTGAAGTATATTCATTCCATTCAGTCCGTCTTTTGCCTCTTATTACTGACATTACTTAAATAGGATTAGTTTAAAAGTAGCATAAGAAAGTAAATTAAAGGTCTATATTCATGGCATAATCAATCGTTTATCCAAAACAGAGTCATATCAAGAGGTTACGGTAAACTATTTGTAATTGTAAGTAAATAGCTATTGAAATAAAGTTAACTATCATAATATTAAATGGTTATTAATATGACATCATTACAGATATTAGAATCTATAAAAAACGAATGCAACACTCACTTACATTTTCAAATTGACTATGATGTTTAACTTGGATTTCTCGTATGAATGTTGTTGCAGTGAATTTCATTCTTATAGGAGGTCCCTTAGAAGGATAATTAGAAGAATAGTTGGTGATATTTATTCCGATCAATTGAACTTAGTTAAAAGTTGTGTAATCTTAGATTTGGAATTGAATAATGATTATTTCACTTGTCTGCTTAAACAATGTAGTTCATTCCATTGTACAAATTAACACACTGTACTATTTGATGAAAGTGACGTAATGGGGATATTTTTGGTTACAGTATGTTTACTGATAAGATAAGAACACAGAACTGTTGGAATTCAGTTTTATTAGGCGAGAATCAATCAACTGATTCTAAGTTCTCTGATGTTTGAATGGTGGCTACAGTGGAATACAGGGTGAGTGTTTCGTTCTATTTTGGACTCGTCAGTTGGGCGTACCCAGTACCATATGATTTGAACGTCATCGCGCCATTCAGTTAGCTACTGAGGACAGGTAACCATTAGTTCGTGCGATGTGGTTAAGTTTAATTCATTTTTTGTATTGGTTGTTTGAATCTCTTCACTAATGTTTAGCACTGCAAACGATTGATCTCTTATTGATATATGTGTATCCTGTGAGGATTGCCTCGATATTGCCTTAAGTCACAAGCATTGTAAGTATCGACGGGTGGTGGCTAGTAATGCAATACATCACGTACAGTATTAGATTCGAGTCCCGTAATGAGCATCAACTCTGAGATGGATGCATATCCAGCTGACGAGTCCCAAGTTGGGTAAAACATGTGTCCTGTAGTCCACTACTAGCCACTACCCATCCCTCCTTATAATGCTTGTGACTTAAGGGAATATCGAGGCAATCCTCATAGGATGTACATACATCAGTAAGAGATTGATCGATTGCAGTCCTAAACATTCGTGAGAGGACTCAAACAACTAATACAAAAATGAATTAAATTCTTTGATGTTTGTGTAAAACAACAATTGCTTTACACACTTCCATTTGTTTTATCCTATTTATAATACAATAGTTTTAATTACACCTACTGTTTTGACTTGTCTTTAAGGACTGGTCTATATTTAGTTACTAAAGTGGGCTTTGGATGAATCTAAGAACTTCTCTTTCATATAGTACGTTTAGTACTATTACAGGGTCTAATTAGTGTTGCTATGAAATCTGAAATGGTTCGCATTCTTGTGGAGATACGAAAAAACGATTCAACAATGAATTGCGATGGAGTTTACAGAGGTGATCACAGGTTTTGCAAGTGTTTATCCTGTGGTGAACGTCACTTAAGTAATTTATATGTCCTTCGTCGTGCAAAATGCTTCAAGAGTGGTAATATGGAACACATTAAGTCGGTCTGTTAAGCTACAGTTTGTTTTGCCGCTAGTGATGATAAACCCTGTAGTTTGGGATTTCATAATTTGGGTGTTTCTAATGATCATTTATCTTTATCCACGATTCCGAGGGATAATTTACATACTGAGAAGTAGTTATATACACCTCTTGGTTTATGCCATGACATTTTGTTGACACAGGTAGTATATAGTCGACTATTTCTTTCAAGAACTTGAAATGTTTAGATTATAACGTTGTAGTGCTACCCACTGAAGTCTCATTATTGGGGATTACTGGACACAAACTTCCCATAAGAAGGTGTTGTAAATTGCTAGTAGGAGACAATAATTCTTCATATATGCCTTGTGAGTTTTTAGTTAGTGAAACAAGACCGTCAATACTAGGTTTGAATAATTTGGAAAGTTTTTAAATGAAGCTGTTTTTATTAGTATCTAAAAAATTTTGATGCTTTACTTAAAGATTTGATAGCTGCGTGTGTTAAGTGCAGAGGAGGGATGGGAATTCAGCCTATAAAACTTCAAGTACAGGGTGGTTCATTCTTTCTTAAAATATGAATAATTCCTTATGGTCCTCGAGAAGTAGTACATATGGCCATGAGCGATTTGTATGCAAAAAGTATGATTAAACAGATCCCGTCTCCAGCATGGGGCACTCCTATTGTTACGCCCTTGAAGTCTGATGGCAAGATGCGTAGGATATGTGGTGATTATAAATTGGCACTGAACTCCTGTTCTTTGAAGCAAACGTGCACGATGTGGGAAGCTGAAGATATTTTTAATCGATCTCATGGTTCTAAGTTATTCTCGAACGTTAACTTAAATGGTGCTTATCTTCAAACTCCATTAGATCAATCTTCATCGATTTTTACAATAATTAATACTCCTTTTGGCCTATTCAAATACATCCTCCTCCCATTTGATTCAATTTTTTCTTCAAACATATTTCAGGAAGTGATAAATAATGTATTCAGTGATCTTAATGCATACCCAGTGCTGTAAGAAAATGATGCAATGCTAATCTGAAACGTAGATTTCTTGTCTATTTTTCAGAGCGGGATAATTTATCCAATGCCCCCTGATAATATTTTGTGCTTAAATGATCGTTACGCAAATCTATCCTTGAAGATATTAATACTAGACATTCGTGCGTTGAGTAAATAAAATCCTTCGCAAGGCTCACATGTTAGTGGACGGAGATAAATGCAGATATATGTCATACAACAAACAGTTATAAAGGATTTAGGTATCATTACCAAGATTTGACTTGATAATTTCGAATAAATTGAGCATTGGGTAGATTGTTATAAATAAATATATTATTTAATTATAAAGGATGTTATGAGTCAAAAAATCACCCTTCGAAGTGAACTTTATGACCAGTATCGTCTGAGGCATGGCAGAGAATTCATGCGGACTAGTATGATCCATTTCTCGACAGACACTATGCACTTGTTGTCATTCATTCTTTTTCTGATTGACCCAAGTTTTATTTCTCAAATTAATCGAATTCTGACCTCACGATCCAAGTATTAAGAAACGTTTTCAGTCAAGAGAGGGTCTTTATGGATTAGTGACTGATAATGGATCTCGTTTTGCTGCAGACACAGTCAGTACCTAGCTGAATTGTATAAGTTACAGACATCCGTCCACTGCTCCCGGGTACTCCTGTTCTAATGGTTGGGCAGAAAGTTTCGTCAGGACACTAAAAACTGCTGATAATTCGTTTGTTGCCTCAATATTTGATAAGCTGGAGAGGAAATCGGACAAATTTTCATTGCAATTTAGAGATGATAAACACTCTATAACAAAAAAGACTACATCAAAGCCATTAAAAGCAAGGATTTTCCGTTCGAATATGTGGTGTTGAGAGTCTGCAGATGTTACATATTATTGTGTAAATGATCTTCGATCAACCAGGAGGATCGAGGAGAAGAACGTTGGAAAATCTATAGTTTGAGTTCTAAATATCAACGCTTTAAGTACACACAACCGACATGTTGATCAAACACAATTCCAGGAGCCAGGTGAGTTTGTTCCAATTTCGGTTGTTGGTTCCAATGCTAGTGAGTACATTCCAGTTCACACAATCTATATCAAATACACAGACGGACAGACACACGGCGAATATACGTTAACTTATGCTCATCTAGTTTTACTTGCGTTTAATTGCATTATTTCTGAAATTCTTAGTTAGCACACTAATTCTAAAACTTCTGATTATCGTGCGACAGTAATGGTAAGCATTGTATATCTATTTCATTAGTTGGGAGTCTTTGAAAAAATATATTTAGTTGGCCACAAAATCGTACGATTTTGTTTGTATAAATAACTGTAATGCTAAGAAAGTTCCAGTTTATGAAGTTCTTATAGACTGTCTATATTCTTATTTTGGTTGGATATCAGCTTTTGTAATTATCAGGCTTTCACAAATTTGGAAAAGTCCTAAAGCATGTAAATTTAGGTTTTTGGTTCTGATGGGTTTCCAGAGTGAAATAAGTGTGGGGAGTATCACAAAGATTTCTGTTCTATTTATAAAAAACTTAAAAGAAAAATATTTTCTGTAAATACCACTGAAAAAAAGATTTCTGAGAAAATAAATAAAACGGAATTCCTCTGGTTGGCATATACTCCATTAAATCTAAGGGACTCGAACGATGGATCAGCTCTGCTCATCCATAGAAAATATAATTCACTCAGTGAAGTTGAGACTACATACATTTTACTTACTTTTATCCCAACGAAGCCATTTAAGACGGGATTTGGCTACATACAAAAATATGTTCCGATCTTATCTCTGCCTAAATTTTTGGGTATCATTACTTGGCTGTTCGCAAATAGGCAGACAATATATCATTATTCAGATGCTCAGTTAAAAGCCTTAGCATTTAGACTGTGAAAGACCGAAAAAGAAAAGACTAGAAAAAACTGGAGCAATCGTAGTTTGGTAGGACATTAGATTCAGAAATACAGTCCCATACTTGTGAAGTTATTTACGACCGTCAATAAGACAAGTTTTTTTCGAAGAGAAGCTGCGCGAAACAGGCTTTAAAATTTTAAACAAGAAACAACACGTCCAGTAAATCTTTTGTAAAAGGGAAAAACATCTCCATAAGTTTACGTATTACGAAACCTACTGGAAAGTTGGTGGTTCTCCTCAGAAATATCTCTCGAGTTTTAAGTGTACGCAGTCCCTTTCTGTCAACTTCACCAAAAAATTCTTGTGCATCACGTGAATAGAAGGCCAGTGATTTAACTATTGCAGAATTACCAGGGTCTTCACAAAGCTGTATGTTAATTTTACAACCTGTTATGTTACCTTAGTACTTAGTTACTAACCATTAAGCACATCATATGGCTTCACATTACGACGTTCAGACAAAAATACTGCTCTGAAATCGAAGGCTTCATCCATAAGTAACGGAAAACACGGTAATAACGATTTAGTCCTTTTCGAGGTATTGAAAAGCTCAATCAACAAATAAAGGTGATTATCGCTTGATAAACGTGTTCCAGGAGCGCATATCTATAAAGTTAACTTAAGATTTTCACTTTAAGCTTTACATAATGAACAATAAACTGAATATCACACAGGTAGGTTCTACATGGCATTTTTAAAAACGTCATGTACGTGTTCCTATATCTACCAAGGTTTTTCAAGGTTATACAGGTTCCAATTTCAGTTTCAGTTTTTAAAGGACAGGAGGCTTGATGGCCTGTGTTAGTCCTGGCAATGATGGTCTATCAGTTGATTCAACTTTCTTTTGAAAGAGTCGACGTATGGAGCCTGAATCACGTGCTGAGGTAATGAATTCCGTTCGTTGATGATTCTATGGAAAAGTCGATAGTCAGCTGACAAGTAATCTGTTCTGGACTTGTTAACGTTTTTGGAGAGTCCTCGGGAATTCTCTGTTTTGAAAGACATGAAAAATGGGGGCGCATCGGGTTCAAATCTATCACCAAGCGATTTGAAAACTGTAATCAAGTCACCTCTAGTTCTTCGATATGACAACGGATTAGGTTTAGATTAGCCAGTCAAGCATCATATGGGAGCTTCGCTAATCCGGGAATCAGCTTAGTTGCCGTTCTCTAAACATTTATTAAAGGCTCACAGCCTTTTTTAAGCAGGGGCCAGCCGCTTGTATGCAATATACAATTTGTCAATAATTAACTAGCAATAATCTATCGGTTTTCGTTCATGTTTCTTTTTTTCAGAAGTTGTTTCGAACATTTACTAGTTTCCAACGATACAAATGCAGTAGCTTAACTAAATCACACAAAGTGCTCGCTCTGTCTCAAAAGAACAGTGGTATTTTCCATAGTTGAGTTAATTTTATGTTTTTATTAGTTCATTACTCATCGAAAGTGCTGCTCTCAGCTAAAACAATAACACGAGTATTTTTTTTCAACAGTAATCTACCATCTGTACTTTTTTAGTACGCTGGTTTTTTTAGTTTTTGCACTTTTGGATTGGCAAATTTGCGGTGTTTCCCTTTCTTTAAGTTACCATATCTTGTTTCTGAGTGTCTTTATGTCTCCTTCTTTTGAAAACCCTTGAGTGAGAGTTGGACAGTGAAAAAAGCAATTGTCAACACCAAGGGTTTCGATACCCGGTTCTGAGTAATCGAAAATAGCCTCCACGTTACTTTTCAGGGGGAGGATACGTTGAGCATCAATAGTGTTTCCGAAAAATTCTACAGAGTCGACGTCGACTTGACATTTGTGAGCGTTTACAGTGATGCCGTGTATGTCGGGTCCTTCAAAAGCAAGGTTGGATTAGTTTTTAGCCAGCCGGAGCTTGTAGGGAGCTAGTCGGTGTGCCGTTGACAATACAGTCGGTCCTGTAATCATGGTGTGATGTGCATCATAGTCGGCCACACATGGAAGTTTCATTCGCGTTCGGTATAGTTCAGGCTACCTATCCACTATTTGTTGATAGTATGAATCGATCATGTGCCTTAAAGTTACTGGAGGCAATCTGTAACTGGGAAAAGAAGTTATGTAAACCTTTCATAATCCCTAAAATTGTTACACAAGCTATTTTATCTGTTTCTGGGTATTATTTGATTACCGCTTCAGACGTGTTTGTCAAATCCCTTTTATTATCATCACAAATTGTCACAGATCATGAAGCTGAAAGTCAGTCTTCGAATAATATGTTATAGTTACCACAGCCAATTGTCGAGGTCGGAAACCAACGAAGGATTAAAAATGGTTCAAATTTGCTAACGACATTGGTCAAACGCAATGGTTTGTATAGAACAGCGGTAGTTTTCAGCATTTATGGGTTATGCGGATTTCCAAACTTGTAATAATGTCAATAGAGTTGGACTAGAGGATGGTTCAGTGACATTCATTAGTTCAAGTTTATCAAAAAGCGATAGCGAATAATAACGTTTTTGCCGTAATCAAATAAATAAAGAACGAAATAAACGAAATATAACTGAACTATCCTTTATACAGCTGGTAAGGATATCAGTTATGGAAACACTAAGTGAAAACCGGCTGTAAAACACTTAGCGATTGTAATCGTTAAAAATATTTACTAATTTCTCAAAATAACACCAAGAAGGTTTCGAATTAGCAATTAAAATTATTCTTCTAGGAGAAAAAACACTAGCAATTTTAATTTAGGCTAATAAACTATGACATGAAAATTGCACAAAAAATGTATGAACCATGCGACTAACTACTGATTATCCGCAGAAAATGTTTTTAACGATCATGGATTGCGTTTTTGACACGGTGGCTTATGACAAAATCAATCAATTCATAAAGGTGAGACATTAGGACAATAATCGACATGGAAACAGCCAAAGTTTAGTATTAAGATAAAAATTGAAACAACATTCAAAACCCCGACAAAATCACAAAGTTGGCCACAATTTAGAGATCAAAAACGATAAACTAATGATAACTGCAAACGGAGTAAGCGATAAAAAAACTGGAGTTGAATATAAAGAGCAATGGAAGTAATGTTACATGTAAAAATGTACCCAACGAAATGCTGCTGCAAAGAATGTATGGATGGATGATTTTCATAAGTGTCAACACGTCCACAGCAAAATGGTTTCGTCAGGGTTAGTGAAGTGCTTACATGTAATATATGATCCCCTCGATAGCTGAGATCATAGTTCATCTTGATGAGTCTAAGAAGCTGGTTTAACGCACAACCAGATGTCCACCCTTTCTATTTATGTTGATATATCGAAGGTTAGTCAGATTCGTTATGGAGACATACCGTGAGGAGGAAGGCGAAATATATATATATTGCCATGATTTATTATGGTCACTAACATTTTCTTTGACTGGCTTTTGATTTATTCGTTGTGTCCAAGCTTTGGATTTGGTTTATTTGTAATTCTGACGATGAATTTCGGGTCTTCACCTTACATTTTGCATTTTCACTCTGGTAACCTAAATACTGTGGGTTTGTTGTGAACTTATTTTATCATAATCATCAAATGAGAAGGCTTTCTAGTACTTCTTAACAAACAGATAAAATTTAGCTATTCGGATCTTAAGATTTCTGTAACCATGTTGTTTAATTGGAAGTTTCAAAGGGATTCAAATGACCGTGATTCATAAAATGTGAAAGTTGGAATTTTGGATACAACACAAAGTTATTCTATCTTGTGACTTATTGAGTAGACATGCTAAGGGCTGGCGCTTCAAAGCATACCACGTTGAACTCATCAGCAGCGTATCACAAAGCTGAAAACATGTTTTCAACCTCACTTATTCTTCTCTACTCTACTAAGCAAACATTTTATGTATTAACTCAGGTTCTTACGCTATGATCAAAGAGTGAGCAATCGATAGAGAAGGAATGGTATAAAGAATGATAAAACTATGATAATAATTGCTTTTATTACTACTACTTACGAAAGGCTCATTAGTACGAAAATGCGACGAAACTATTTTGGATTTCGTCAGAGATGTAATTACACACAAGTTTCAGTAATATTTACATAATAATCATCATATTTAGACAAAGATCGTAGAATTAATGAAAAAAACATTGAGTCGACCTCGAAGAAAAACAAAAACTAAAAAAATGTATGAAAAAAACAACGTGAATAATTTTATAGATAAATTTATGAATCAGAACAAAAGATAAACAGTAATGTATGTGGGTCATTGTCTTCACTAAACAGGATTATATCATCTGCTTATTCTAAGTCCATAAGTTTATCTCCTGGTAGGAGACCAATGCTCAAAAATTCAGTCGATGAGAGTGTTATATCCATGGGAAGGTCTATGATGAAGTTAAACGAAAATGGAGAAAGCAAACAACTTTGAAAGACACCACTTGAGGTTGTAAAAGCAGATGACATTTCGCCATAAGCTGTGACTTGACTAGTAGTGTTCGAGTAAAAGTAATGTATATAGTGAAAATTGAATCAAAATAATAAATAAATCAATAAAAATGATATTGGTCAACTCAGTAACATTGAATAGTAGGATAAGTGTATATATTCGTTAATAGTTTAGTACCATATAATGAAAGAATAATTGCCGAATACCAAGTTATTTGGGTCATATACACTTTATGTTACACCGGCTGTCTTGGCGTGAAATTGTTGCTGTGTGTGAAAGGAAGATTTAGGTTATTCATGAAGCCCAAAGTTTTCTGTGTTTCTTCTGAGAGGTGGAAGACCTTAGAATCAAGTCAACCACCGGGAGAAAAAGAAAGAGGGAGAGTAAGCAGCGTCATCTGACACCGATCATCAGCTGTCCTTCATGAAAGACTTAAAGGTGTAGTCCGTTCAACAAATTCTGTATCGTTTTGACGATATTTTCAGCTACTCAATCCATAATGTTGATGAATGCATCATAAAATCTACCTACTCACACTGTCAAACGCCTTCCAATATTCAGGTAAGTTAATATTTAGCGATGCATTCCATTCAACTGATCGCTCAACTATGATCTGCACTCTCGTCGTCTGGTTAGTTCACGGAATCCAACCTGTTGGGCACGTAACGAATCTTTCATCCGTTTTAGCAACATTAGCCCAGGTCTCTCTATTTTGGAATATCGATGAGATGTCGCTTTTGTCTCGAATCTTACTGAATAGAATGTCGAGCGCGTTTGCAGACACTTCAGTCTCCGATTTCAGTGCTTCAGCTGGTATATTGTCACGTTCCGCTTCTTTCCCAAACTTGATTTATCTAATGACTATCCTGATTTCTTCGATATTAGGTGGAGTGTTTGTAGGTGCTGCTTCAAAAACCGGTATATTCAACGAAGCCAGAATATTCAGGTTTTCCTCAAAGTGTTCTATCCATTTTTTACTCTGTCCTTGGATCCCAGTGATTGGACTGCCTCATTTCTCCGTGAGAGGTCCCTCTGGTTTATTATATCTTCCTACCAGTTTCTTCTTTGTATCATAAAGTCGTTTCATATCTCTTTCTCTTGCAGATATTTTCGCCGTCGTTGCTAGTTCTCCCACGTATTTCTGCATGTCAGATTTATTGATCTTTTTCGCTTGCTTGTTTGCTTCTGTGTACTCAACTTGTGCCTAGACTTTCTCTGGTCGAGTTCAGCTATTCTTAATCG